TGATTGGTGTAACCTGGGCTCTGATGGCTCTCTGTGTGTGGGGGGGGGGGGCTCTCAAAGTGTCAGTTGAACACAGCTTTGCCTAATGGCTTCTTCCAGACCTGTGTGTACTCTGCCAATTGGCCACAGAGCAGACTTCAATTTCAGAGCAGCAGTACAGCCTCCGATGTAACCCAGTTTCTGTTTCCTATGTAAGTATTTCTCTATGAAAATAGTTTACATGGCCTGATATGTGGCATTTGAGTACTGAACTCTGCATTCTGTCACTTACAGTCTTTTGTATACTGTCAGCAGCAGAGCAGTCTCCAGTGTCATCGAACCTAGTTCAATGGGCTCTTATCCCCCAGAGAACCTGTTAGCTTTATCATCATCTCTGGCTCCGATTCAAAGCCTTTTTATGGAGACTGTACTTACTCAGAGTTCTTATGATAAGAAGATAATGGGTCCGTTAACTAGCTAAGTTCATTAGGAGACACAGGTCCTGCCCCCCCCTGTTCGTGGCTTGATGTCTCACAAAACTGAGACATGAAGATTGGAAGTGGGGCTATACAGGGGCTGACTTAATGGACTTTTTGTTTGTCAGTGTCTAAACCTCCCGAAGACAGCAGAATAACCCAATCGTATCAGAATAACTATTTGATATTGTGTCCCTTAAAGCAGAACTGCAGGGGAAATGTATTAACACTTGCAGTGGGGCTACTCAAGGGTTAACTGCTCGTTTCGGTCTAGGGAGGGAAAAAACAAAGTTATACTCACTCCTCGGAGCCAGATGGCTGTGACAGCGCTCCTTCCAGCAATGGAATGGCACTTGGCGTCCTCGCATTCTATACAGTGAATATAGAACGTGATGATTTACAGGACCTTAGACCCCTGCACCGGAGGAGACAGACGCTCCAAAGACCGGTCTTAGAGCTGCCGTTTCAGGGGATCAGGTGAGAATAACCTTTTTTTGTTTCCCTCTCTAGACACAAACGAACACTTAACCCTTGTAGTGCAAGGGTATCCCTACTGACAGGGTTAATAATACTTTTGCCCGGAGTTCTTCTTTTAAGCAACTCCAAGAAATGGATTTTAAGGTAAATACAAAAATCCTGTTTTTTTTAAAAAAAAATTGCGCTGGCTGCCTATTTAAATTGAGTAGGTTTGGCTAACGCAAGCCACTGAAATGACAGTACTAGAATATTTAGAAGGCGTTCAGAAATGGCAGCCCCAGTATTTCTCCCAGTGCAGATTTACTTTTATGATGGCAATCGCACCTTTGAACTTTTGATGTGGCGCAGATTCAGTGCTATGCGTTTCACTTACCATACAAGGTGTGTTGTGCTGGAAGGAGCACCAAAGATACAACAAGCAGAGATTTTTCAACGCACCTCCATTAAATGGCAGGGGGAAATATGTAACCTACACCTGGCCATATTGTATTCAGCTTACCCAATTCGTTTAACTGTATTTACTTTTTTCATTAACTTTTTTTTTTTTAAATTAGATTACAGATTGCCTGACAACGGTGAAGTCGGTGAACAAGACAGACAGTTGCACGCTACTCACGACATTTGGGGTCAGTTCTCTAGAGCTGAATAAGCAAATGAAATGTTATTGCTCTACATATCGGGTTCATTCAACGTTCTTTTTATACAGCACACGCCTTCCAGTGCAGTTACCAGGGACAAGAAATACAGTGTGAACGAAGGCTTTCCTAGCACCATTAAAGCTGTCTTTCTGTCAGCTACTTCCTAAGGGCATCGCAGTGCACTTTACATTACATGTTAATGTGCCATGACTGTGATTTAGATTTGTTTCCATTGATTTCTGTGAAAAAAAGTGTGAATGGGCAGCCAATTGTCTGTTCGCTTCAGATGCTAGGATTCTAGAAATTCCTTCTTTGATAGAACAACAGATATACACCCATCTTCATGATATTAAGTACGGATGGACCAATACCAGTTTTTCGGTATCGAACACCGATGGGTTTTTTCCAGTACTCGTCAATACCGATACCGGAAGTCCCATTAAGGAAGCCAGGTGGCGTTTAATGACTCGCCACCTGGGTTCCTGATTAGCTGGGCGGCGTGCAAAGACTTGCCACCCGACTTCCCAATTAACAGGTGACGAGACAGCATGGAGCCAGCTTTCTGGCCAATCAGGCGCTGTGTAATGACGCGTTGCCCGGCTTCCTGATTGGTCAAGAAGCTGGCCAATCAGGAAGCCGGGCAACACGTCATTACACGGCACCCAGCTTCCTCATTGGCCGTTAAGCCGGCTCCATGCTACCTGGTCACCAGGTATCGAAGGAGCATGAAGCCGGCTTTCTGGCCAATCAGAAAGCTGGGAGGCGTGTAATGACACGTTGCCCGGCTTCCTGATCCAGGAAGCCGGCTCCATGCTCCCTTGTCACAAGTGATGAGGGAGCATTGAGCCATCTTCTCTGCCAATCAGGAAGCCAGGCAGTGTGTAATGACTCAATGCCCGGGTTCCTGATAGCGGAAGCTTAAGTATCGGGCCAGGCATCGTACAAGTACTCGCCCAAATACTTGGTATCGGCACAGATACTAGTATCGGTATCAGTGCATCCCTAATATTAAGGGCTTGTGCACACCATGTCTGTTGAGCTGTGTCTTTCTACACAACACTGCACAAGTATGGTGTAAACAGGGCCCATAGAAAGCAGCTGTTTTCTATGTACCTTGTTCACATCATACATGTACAGTTGTGTGCAAAGAAACCTATCTAGATCACTTTATTCTTTCATGGTTGTGTGCAGAGAAACTTAGCTCAACATAATTGTTGTAAACAAGTCCTAAATGCTCATGCACATCACCCGTGATGCGGTAATACATACTATACATATTAGTGTGCTGAAGCTCAATTAATTTTAAATGGTACCCCAATGCATTTCCACAACATGTGTCCTGCACAGCAGTGCATCGGAATGTGGTGTCCTGTGTGGTGTGCTGCAGCCCATTCATTTTGAATAGACTCCCTAATGCAACGTGCCTCATATGCGTTGGTTGCAGCGGTGTGGTTTGAAAGAGAAAAAAGTTGTATTTGCATATTTGCCCAATTCACCTTGATTTTTTTTGTATGTCAGAGCAAAAGAAAACAAATGCATTCAATCCAATGCAATACACACACTTTCTTCATGTTTTACAGAAAAATAATTGTTGATCTGCCAGAAATCCAGTGTGCTCCTAACTTTCTGTTTGGGCTGACAACACAGCTTTAAATTGAATTCACAAGCATTATTGTGAGCCCTGCTGGACTACAGAACTCTGCTTATCTACCCCCTGCCCTCTCTGTTCCATTCCGCATGCATACAATGAGGTTGCTTTACAAAAGGAGTTGACGATCTTCAGTTACGGACTTGTAGCTGTGTTCACTTCGAATACCCAATCATGGGCAGACAAATTAAACAGGAAGTTGCTTTTTAGGTGGATATGTGTAGGGAATCTTTACTCCATATTACTGAGTGGAGATTCTCAACTCCTTTAGTAAGGCTGGCTTCACACTGTTGCATAAGGACACGTGTTTTCACGTTGGTGTGCTGCGGTGGCATTCATTTTAATGGCACCCCAATGTACCTTTCCATCTTGTGGTGTGCTGCATTACTGTAATAAAATGCACTTTTTTTTGTTATACAAATTATAAAAATAAACAAAAATGACCAGAGCCAAGACCCAACAAAGTGAATAACTATGCAAAAGGGAAATGAAGGTGATGAAACATAACTGGCAAAGCTCAGGCCCCGTTCACACCTTTCCGTTTTGTCGGGCGTTCAACGCTCTATGAACGCTCTACAAAACGTACAGCCATGAAAATCCCATTGTTTTCTATGGGCATGGTTCACACCTTTCCGTATTTCCGCCCGTCTGAACGCCCTACAAAACGGCTGACGCCCAAACAAGTACATGTACTTCTTTGGGCCGTTTTGGAGGGCGTTTTCCATTGGGATACAGCCAAGCAGCCTTCAGAATCGGGCGACGGTCGCACAATTTTTTTACCGCGAATCGCGGTAAAAAAACCGCGTGACAGTCGCGCGACAGACGTGCATACGTAAAACGCCTAGGTGTGAACCCAGTGTCAGGCTTTGGATGGAAGCTTTGTGGGGTTTTTTTTATATAGTAATTCTGTACTTCCTGCTTAAAGGAGAACTATGAGGTGAGTGATTTTCACTCACCTCATAGTTTTAGCTGACCTCCGACAATGAGACTGTCACAGGTCGGCTCAGTAGATCGGGAGGTGAGCGAACACATACCGGCGTTCGCTCACCTCTCGATCCTGTCACGGCTCTCTGCCGTGAAAGGGGAGGGGCTAGATTCCTCCCTCCCCGCTCCGATCCGCCAGCGCTGACTGGCGGAACGGACGGGGGAGGGGGCAGGTATAGCTGGCTCTGCCTTTAGATAGAGCCAGCTGTCAGTCACGCAGCTGGGCGAATCCCGGCACAATTGTCAGGATCCGCTTCAGCTGCGGCGCCTCAGTATACCGCGAGCTACAGCGGTATACTGAGCTTAGGGTGATGGGAGGACGCTAGTTTGTGTCCTCCCGTTACCCTAAGGAGAACTATGGGGAAAAGACTTAACCCCATAGTTCTCCTTTAATAAAGTTGCACAGTAGCTGGCTTTACTGTTCCCATCTCTAAGTACAAATCTATTAATCAAATGTGACTTGCTGAAAGCCATATACACTCTTCGTAAGATTTTGTGTGTATATGTATATATATATATATAGTTTCCTTTTATTAACTTTCTTGCTGTATTCCCTCCAGACTCTTTCAGACCTTGCCAATGCTTCTCGAGAAGACCTGTCTCTGTGCCCAGGATTTGGCCCACAGAAAGTAAGTTCTATTAGTCCATCAGTTGAAGCTTTACTCCAGAAAAAAACACATTCGAGAGTTGCTGGTTTTTCAATGCTTATTCCAATAATCAAATACTAAGAAACCTTCAAACCAGCTTGTTGCCTCTGGTAAGGCAGCTTTCCAACACAGGCCTCTCTCAATGGTTACCTGGAGAAAACTCAAAGTATAGATGTACAGATGGGCGACAAACCACAACATGAAAGAGTCCAAAGTGCCCATAATGGTCGAAAAGGAGGAACCCCACATCATTTTTTTTGCGTGTGTTGGGTCCCTCTAGAAAATTCATACTAGGATAAGGGTCTGGTATGGATTTTGGGAGGACCACACTTCGTTTTTTACATTTTAGGTGCTGCAAGATATTCTATATTTGTGCTGTGACTGAAAAAAGGCTAAGCAACACTGCATTAGCCCCCCCGTGCCTTCCTATTAGCCAGTAAATGGTCTATCACAACTGGAAAGGTGCATGTGGTGGGAGGAGGTGAGCCAGTAATTGCTGTTTGCTCCACAGTACTGTGCAAAAGTTTTAGGCAGATGTGAAAAAATGCTGTAAAGTAAGAATGCTTTCAGAAATAAAAGTGTTAATAGCTTATTTTTATCAAATAACAAAATGGAAAGCAAATGAACAAAAGAGGAATCCAAATCAAATCATTATTTGGTGTGACCATCCTTTGCCTTCCAAAAAGCATCAATTCTTCTATTTACATTTGCACAGTTTCACCTGCCGAGTGCTTTCAGAAACTGTGTGCAGGTGTACCTAGAAGAAGGCAAAGGGTGGTCACACCAAATATTGATTGGATTTGCATTTCTCTTCTGTTCATTTCCTTCCATTTTGTTAATATTTTTTTACATTTTTATCAATTAACACTTTTATTTCTGAAAGCATTCTCGCTTTACATCATTATATTCACACCTGCCTAAAACTTTTGCACAGTGCAGTAGATGCAGGCTTCGATTCCTACTTGTATTCCTGTATAATGACTGTTCTTCACCATTCTTCTCTTTCTGCCATTCTACTTACATGGCTTGAACACCGTGGTATCTTCCCTGTCTGGCTAGTTGATCTCATTTCAGCAATTGTTTAGCCAATTCAGCCTGATTGTACTACCTGATGTGCAGATATTCAGATCTGAAATATGAGTTGGAAATGAGGAACCAGCAAAAGTATAAAATGCAAACATCTTCTTGTTTGGTAACTTACAGGATGTGTATTTGTTGAAAACACCTAATGGTTTCCCTTTCAAAAGGTAACAATAAGCCCAGCTGAAGCTCTCATCCCGTGCTGGAGAGGGTACCATTGCCCATTTCCCAGTGATATTGCTAGTTCTGGAGCAGGTTTATCGTTATGCATGATCTGCCATGATCATCTCCCAACACTGCCTCCACAAAATGAGCAGTGGTGGCCTCCAGGGCTGGACGTGAGTCTCCACTGCGATAACGCTGACAGGTTCTCTTTAAAATAAGTTTAGAAACATGACTGCACTGATTTGCATTTTATGGTTAGTCAAAGTGGGATGGCATCTACAATGATGATTTGTAAGAACAGGAGGCAATATATAGCTACTCTAAGTATATGGGTCTGATGTTTCTAACTTCCTATAATTACTGCATAAAGGGGAATGCTCATGGGTTGAGCCCAACACTCTTCTGTAATGGCGGATCTATATGTGCCTTTATAGTGCTATTCACCAGTATAGGCATGGTTCTTTGTAATGGCTGATCTAGTCTGTGGAGGATAATGGAACATGCGTGAATGACAGTCACTTGGGATGACCCCCAGCATTATTGTGCCATAGATTGAATAAGACCTTTATTGCACTTATGGTAGAGACCAATATACAGTATAAGGGAATGCAATCTATGGATTGTGCCTTATGTTTGCATGTATGTGTGTTTTGGTCCTTATTGGCTTGTTTACTGTATACGACACAAGTTGTAATATAACCTGAATGGTTATTCTGCGCCGTTGGGCACAAAGCCCTACTCCTATGAAGCCATGATTTCCATAAACTGCACCGATGATCATCAAAAAGCCTGAAAGGACTGTATGCAGTTTGGAATAAATGGCTCTATAATAGTAGGCTGTATTTACACAGTTCTGGATGTACATCTGGCTAATGAGGTATTAAGCTTTGCATTTTATGACTGAGTCCACTGTTCAGACATGAGGAACAATCATCTTTTTTTTGGGTTGTGTGTACAAATGAGACATATGAAATCCTTCTGTTCTAAGAAGGCTTGACTGATCGGAGTGAGGGCCCTTTGATTGCTTGAATCCCATGTCACCATAACCTGTATTGTTATATTATAATATATTTATGATATACAAAGGGACAGCAGATCTGTATATGAATAAGTATAACTGTATGGAGATTCTCTAGCATGGGGTTGACATATACTGTACAGATATAATTTTCTTTTTTTGTGATTGTAATTTCTCTTTAAAGTAACCCAGTGCTGTTCCCATATAGGGCAAAGCAAAACGGGGGTCAGTATCTTCACCCTTTCCCATCAGCACATACTTGCCTTTCCTTTGCTATTGCTTTGTTTAGCCACCAGGAAAGAAGAGAAATACATGGGGACTTTTGAGTATGTAGGAGCCTGTGACACACTCTCCTTCTCCCATGTGATAGTGCACATACTTTGTGATTGGTCTAGTGCTGTCACATGAGTGGGAGGGAGGGGGTTAGTCCTCAGCCCTGTGCAAGCTCTGAAAAGTTGGGTTTGGACATGCGCTGGACTTTCGGTCTTGAACTCTGATGGATGAAGCTGCAAAATCACTCTAATTCTCCCATGGTATAGCACTGGTGCTTTATGATTGGCTGAGTGCTGTCACATGAGGCGGGGGCGGAGAGTTCTCCACAATGTATAAGCGCCGACAAGTTGGTTTGGACTCGCACTGGACTTTCCAATGGCAGAAGATTGAAGGAAAGTTAAGGATGAGCTAAGGGTGAGGGCTGACATTAGGTGACCCTATTACTACACCCTGCATGGAAAAAGCACAGGGTCACTGTAAAACAAAGCCGCATTACCTGAATCTTACGATTTTCATGTTTTGTTATTAATGAGAAAATGCTAGGTGCCTGTGTGTTTTGTGACTCAAAAGTACTGAAGCCAGAGAGTCAGCAGAACTTGACAAAGTACACCAATAAGCTCTCCTAACTTTTTGTTCTGTATCAATGCCTCAAAAGTATTGAAGTCAGTGGCATAGGATAGCAGCCAGGTATCGTGTATTTTCAGAAGGGCAATGGCATCTCCTGTATGTTTCTGAAAGGTTTATTTCAAAGAGCAGCCTTCAGATCTGTTTGAAGTCAATTTGAACATCCTATTTTTTTCTCTTTCTAGGCAAAGAGACTGTTTGATGCTCTACATGAACCATTCCTCAAAACTAAGTAGTAGGCATTGGACAATGTCAATCCAATCCTCACACAGATGAGATTGGCCGTGAACAAGGTCCATCCAATCATAGCGCCGATGGGACTGACCTTAAACAAGGTCCATCCAATCCTCACGCCGATGAGACTGACCTTAAACAAGGTCCATCCAATCCTCACGCCGATGAGACTGACCTTGAACAAGGTCCATCCAATCCTCACGCCGATAGGACTGACCTTAAACAAGGTCCATCCAATCCTCACACTGATGGGACTGACCTTGAACAAGGTCCATCCAATCCTCACGCCGATGGGACTGACCTTGAACAAGGTCCATCCAATCCTCACGCCGATGGGACTGACCTTGAACAAGGTCCATCCAATCCTCACGCCGATGGGACTGACCTTGAACAAGGTCCATCCAATCCTCACGCCGATGGGACTGACCTTGAACAAGGTCCATCCAATCCTCACGCCGATGGGACTGACCTTGAACAAGGTCCATCCAATCCTCACGCCGATGGGACTGACCTTGAACAAGGTCCATCCAATCCTCACGCCGATGGGACTGACCTTGAACAAGGTCCATCCAATCCTCACGCCGATGGGACTGACCTTGAACAAGGTCCATCCAATCCTCACGCCGATGGGACTGACCTTGAACAAGGTCCATCCAATCCTCACGCCGATGGGACTGACCTTGAACAAGGTCCATCCAATCCTCACGCCGATGGGACTGACCTTGAACAAGGTCCATCCAATCCTCACGCCGATGGGACTGACCTTGAACAAGGTCCATCCAATCCTCACGCCGATGGGACTGACCTTGAACAAGGTCCATCCAATCCTCACGCCGATGGGACTGACCTTGAACAAGGTCCATCCAATCCTCACGCCGATGGGACTGACCTTGAACAAGGTCCATCCAATCCTCACGCCGATGGGACTGACCTTGAACAAGGTCCATCCAATCCTCACGCCGATGGGACTGACCTTGAACAAGGTCCATCCAATCCTCACGCCGATGGGACTGACCTTGAACAAGGTCCATCCAATCCTCACGCCGATGGGACTGACCTTGAACAAGGTCCATCCAATCCTCACGCCGATGGGACTGACCTTGAACAAGGTCCATCCAATCCTCACGCCGATGGGACTGACCTTGAACAAGGTCCATCCAATCCTCACGCCGATGGGACTGACCTTGAACAAGGTCCATCCAATCCTCACGCCGATGGGACTGACCTTGAACAAGGTCCATCCAATCCTCACGCCGATGGGACTGACCTTGAACAAGGTCCATCCAATCCTCACGCCGATGGGACTGACCTTGAACAAGGTCCATCCAATCCTCACGCCGATGGGACTGACCTTGAACAAGGTCCATCCAATCCTCACACTGATGGGACTGACCTTGAACAAGGTCCATCCAATCCTACGCCCATGAGGCTGACCTTGAGCAAGGTCCATCCAATCCTCACGACGATGGGACTGACCTTGAACAAGGTCCATCCAATCCTCACGCCGATGGGACTGACCTTGAACAAGGTCCATCTAATCCTCACACTCACTGGATTGACCGTCTTCAACATGGTGCAGCGAATAAACAATTCATCGTTCTAGATAATTGATCTGCTCACGTATAACCACTCTGGAAAACGTTCTCCAAAGAGTAAAGAGCTAAACTCTTTTCTCCAATTAGCTGTTAGTTGTTTATAGCCATCAGTTCATTTACTTCCATGAAAGAGCCAAGGGTCTGTGTGATTTCTGAATTTTTATAAGTAGTGCTGTGAAAGTTAGTTATCTGCGCTTCTGTCACAGATATTATAAGTATCTGGGGTAGAATCACAACACAACCGATTTCAGATTCACACAGTTCTTTTATAGTAAAGGAGCTGATGCCTGTAGACCACTAACACCCTTCAGTCAGTATAAAGAGTTTAAATCTTTCCTGGAGAACCGGAGCCACCAATAACCTTCAGGCTTTCATATTCCAACCAGTAAACTTGGATTACTGACACACTTGGCCTTTGGGTGATTCTGGTGGCCATTGCTTGCTAACAAGTGCTATGACTATGAATTGACGTGTCATGCTTTTTGGATCTCCACACCACACACTATCGTACCATCAAAACTCACAGAATCATCCGCAATAGATTTCAGTCATCAGATTTCCAAAACATTAGCATTTTTGCCATAAAAAAAAACAAGAGCAGATCTCCATACCTGGTCAGATGGTTTTTAATGGTCGTAGAGCCGCCTCAGACCACTAGAAGGTGGGACTTCACAAATGTGCCAGCGAATAGAAAATGTGTGTGGATAACACACAGCGCTTACCACGTGCTCTCTCTTCCAGCAGCAGCCTTGATCAATTTTCACCTTAGTACATACCTCATTCATAATGTTTTAAAAAAAATTCGGCACCCTTTTTTTTTTTTTTTTTGTAATAACTGTTTTGTTTTTTTTTGTAACAAGTGTTTTATTGTATGTTGGTATAAATGTCGTATGATTCCTGTAATAAACATTCTTATTGTTGAATACTATTGGAGTTCTAATCACTAGTAGATCGGAGTGTACAATAAGTAACATACACAGAAGTCTGGTACACACTACAATTTACACAGTACATAGAAATACATTGTACATGAGTTTATACAGACTATCACAGGTGTAGGCTGCAGGTTTCAAGCTGAAACACAGTCCTACGCCTCAAAACGTCATTTAAGGTTATTGCTTAAAGGAAAGGGTTAATGCTTCTTTAAAAATGTTGTTCCCTCTTTCTAAAAGCTTTAATTTGTCTATCGAAATAAACAAGACCCTTGGTAGCAGGACCTATAAGTAATTTACTCTCATCTCCCCCACTTCCCTTCCAATACGATTGGCCAGCTTGCCAAAAGCCTGGTATTTCCAAATGTTGGGGAACACCTGACACTATGCCATGCTTTCATAGGGCTAAGTAAGGTGCCAGTGCAGCCAATCACTAGGCCCAAGTGATGTCACATGGTGGGGTGTGTGTTGGTGCACGGATGTTTGGAGGGACTGCAGCAGCAATAAGGGCAGAGTGTAGACTTCTTATAACAAGGGACTTTGAATATAGAACCCAATAAAAGGTCTACTGCCCGAAACTATTTGGTACCTTTGCTGATAGGGCCAGTTCACACTGGCATGTTGCCTAATCGCACACGTGTTGAAGGTGCATTATTGGATGTTTTACATGTGTTGCGTTAAGAAGCCCATTCTTTTTGAAAAACTAACCTAAAATGATGCTTGGAGCATTTATAATAACGCGCACGCACACTGTTCACATTTGAGTGTTGTGATAAGTTACTATGCACATGCGCTGTGTTTGTGCTTTGGGGTTCTACAGTACTGCAACGCACCACATGTACTGTGCATTTCTGGTAACACTCAGCATAACATGCATTACCTCAATGCACCAGTGTGAACCAGCCCATACTCTCTCAATGGGTTTTAAAAGAGGAATTGTACCATTTACCTCTCATCTTCTATGCGGTATAAATATACTTACGAGCCCAGCAGATCCAATGTTGTCCTCTTCTCCAACACTGCTCTCCTCCTACAGGTTCTGCCCCACACTCCGACCTTTGTCTGGTAGTCATCAGGGGGCTGGCTGTCTCTTTAGGGTTCTTGCAGCCAGTCCCCTGATGACATGCCGCTGTTCTAGATTGCCTGAAGCCTCCTGGGAAGCAGGATGTAAGTATTCCAGGAGGCTGCGGGAAGTTGGGGCTACATTATTCTCACCTAGGTGACAAAGGCGGAATCGCCAGTGATTTACCAAACCAGGGGGTAATATTAGGTAAGGTAGGAAAGGAGCATGAGCTTTAGTGTAAATATTACAACAATAATGAAAAACATGTACTCACTATAGATTCCCTTTAAACTGCCTTCAGGTAATAAACATTATTAAATCTGGACTACAATCTGTATTACTCTGGAGCAGACTTGTATACGACACCACTATCTAGAAAGAACTGTCCTTTCATCAAAATGTATAAATAGTTTTCCATGAATGCTAAGGGCCTGTTCACATGATATCAGGTCCTGATCAGGTGCGGATCTGCAGACTGATGCAGTGCGTTTTGGCCACGTTTTTGATGCGTTTGCATTTCCTGACCGTTTCCGGACCTGACAAAATGTGACATGCAGTATTTTTTCTGTCGTAAGCTGAACGGACTGCGCACGTGAGAACTGGAGCCCATAAAACACATAGGGATACATTGGGATGCATTTTGAGTGCAGCAGCGTACGGAGCCGGTCAGCACACAAAACGGACGTCGTGTGAACAGGCCCTAAAAAAGAAATCTCACACCAACAGAAATGTAAAAAATTGTTTTCTCACACCTTTAAGGAAATCTGTACAAAAATAGGCCGTCATGATGATCCAACGGCTTCAATACTTCCTGACCCAAAACAGGTATGCAGACCAGGAGTTCAAATATATCTGAAGCCTAAACTTTTTTTTTTTTACTAAGTAGGGAATGACAAGAAGTCCTGTCGGTTATTTTTTTCTTGCTGGTTGGTCTGATTTCCTTTATTTCCTGTCCCAGAGACCCAACAGGATGTGAATGGAAATTTCTCTAAAGCGAATAAGACGAGCTGTCCCTGGGACAGGTGTCCCCAGTAGAAGATTTCCCATGACTTCCTCTTCCGATGGCGACTTAAAAATGTTGGATTTCTCATCACTTTCTGTCTTGGCGACAGTGGTCGCCAGGACAAATAGAGTGTGGAAGTGTCAGGTTTTATTGCTGCCTTGTGTCCCCACTGGGTAGATTCTTTCAATAAAAATCCCATCGGCATGGAGCTCTGCCTGATGATATAAAATCATCTTACATTCATTAAACAGATTTTTCTTTTACTTACAACTACTGTTTTTCCACTGCCTGCTCCTCCTGGGCATTAGTAATGTAATGTGCCCAAGCGTTGCATCTGGGAAGGTTACATTGGCAGAGCATTGCTGGGAAATCTCATGTGTAATCTCACGAGATCTCAGGGAAAGGCATTTTCCTCCCCTGAGATGATGTGCACGGTCACATGTCCTAGTCACATGTACCCGAGTTCCAGGAAGCAAAAGATATTCATCTGCCCTAAAATGGCCACTGAGGGAAAAAAAAAAAAAAGAAAAAGGAATACAAAGTATAGAAATTATCTACCAGTGTCTGTTAATGTCATTACTAAATGTTTCATTTTTGTCATTTCGGAGATATGGGTAAAGTTCCTCTTTAAGACTATGCTCAGACCTCACTTGCTGCATGCCGATTTTACAATAGTGAGCCGCGAAGTATTAAAGCCAGAGTCAACCAGATAACTAGCATTTCCAGAGGATTGACAATGGTATCTGAATCCCTCTCAGTACATAAAACCTTTAAAAGCACACCTAAAAAAAACACTTGTTATTGCCCTGTATTCATTAAATATTATTCTAATTAAAAACACTACATAATTAAAACATCCCACAACAGGTGACACAAATAAAACACAATTGGTAAGACATAGCCCTAAATTCAATACCGCAGAGTCCCAATACTTCACACAGTAAAAAAAAAAAAAAACTGGAGTTCTCCGTTTTGGTGAAATGTTGCTTTCCCATAACAATATTTACTGCTGTCTGTATGGCCAAGGCAGATCTGAGTTCTTCAGTCGAGCTGCTACCATTGCTGGTTAAAGGTCTTCATATATTCCTATGGAGTAGCCACTAGGGGGAGCAAAGAAATGTAGCATCATACACCCTCTAGAGCAGTGGTTCTCAACCTGTGTGACCTCAGGACCCACATTTGTCATTAAGTCACAACCCACGTCGCACTGCAATAGAATGCACGGCATTAATGTACCACACTTTCCGGTGCAGGGGCATACGAACTGTCAAATGGTCAAATGAATGACCATGCAACACACCTCCTACACCAGTATGCACGGTAGGTGCGATTGCGTGGTACAGTATGTTAATCACATGGTACTATGTGATTGATGCACTGTACTAGTCTGAACGGAATGGAGCTCTCTCAAGACCATAGCCCCATCCCACCCCACCTCAAGCTGACACTCAGCGCCAGGCACCATATTTTGAATGGCTGCTTGGCACGAGACCGCATGGTCTTGCGCTAGGGGGAGGCAGAGGAGCCTCTCACCTAGAAAAGTGGAAGGCTTGCGGCGACCCGCTGAAAACGGGGTCAAGACCCACCAGTTGAGAACCAAGGCTCTAGAGGACCCACCATAGGAATATACATGGAGAACTGGGGCAAGGTCCAATAGTAGCTCAGGTGAAAAGCCAAACCCAGCTTGTCTGTTTTGTGCTGGCAGTAGGTGAAGATCACCCTTCTAAAGGTCTCAGACAGCAGTAAAGTCTAAGTACAGCATCTAGCCATACCGTACTTCAACCAAACAGAGAAACATATATGTATTCCAGACTGGGATGCTGCTTAAAAACAAAGAATCCTAAAAATAATATGGAGTCAGTGAACATCGGTGGCAATGGTTAATATTACCAGAGGTCAGAACACTGGTGTCCAAATAGTCCTGGGTGAACACTGCTTGTAGCTAAGCTGAATCCTTCATGCCACACGGTAAGCCTTCATTAGAGAATATTCTCGCCGACTGGCGCGAGAGGCCCAGAGGAAGAGAGCTCCGGCCATAACCTGTAGAGGGGAGGAGACGCAGGCCAAGCAGAAGGACCAGCCATAGTCCCCTCGGACACCTGGCGGTGGGGGCAGGCTCTTCTGCAAAATATACACCCCGCTGGCAAAACACAAGACTGCGCCCAGTGTGCACACACCTAAAAAGAAGCAGAGGTGACAAATTAGTATTCATTAAACAATACTGACCTGAGTGCCCCAAAATAATAGAAAACAGCAGAACATCCTTAAACCAAGTAAGGAAAACTACTCAATTCAAAAAGGAATATCCTTGTATAAGCCTACTCACCAATGGTTTTATATAAAATGCACCTTTAGGGCAGGTGTAATGCTGTAGAGGACCAGGATGACCTGGATTCATTTTGAAGGATTTAGTGTATATTTAAGGGTGATGTTTAAGGCTTGCTTAAATCTTTAAAAGGTGTCACACTGTTTGTATGAGAGTATGACGACACTAAGGGGGTCCATTTCTAAACAATTTGCAGAATACTCTTTTTATATTTTCTTTATAGGCTGAATGCATGTTTAAATGTCCCACGCCTCCTGCCCGCAGAGTGATCACCTGCACACTATACAAAGAAAAAAATGGTCACCTGCCTACCCATTACACCACAATTTACAGCATATTGCCTTCTAAAACAAAATGACAGATGAACTTTAACATAGTTTAGAGATTTCGGAAAAATATTCATGACTTGCCTGCGAGGAGGTGTAAGGCTCCCGTCCCCAGAGCTGGGTAAAGGCTGCGGCACACACATCCAGCCAAACCAATAACAGCACCAAAAAATATGAGTCCCAGAGAAACCAGGGGCAGCAAGAACTGGCACCGCCAAAGATCTGAAATAAAGGCAAGCGTTTAGATTAGCTTACACACAAGGCAACGCAATAGGAGTCGCTCACCAAATGACCATGTTTCCACATAGCTAAGAAAGACCATAAAATGTATGTCATGACAAGAATAAAGGAGTTACCAATGCCGATCCTCTGATAAAGATATCAGTTGTCTGCCTGTACGCCGTCTGTGGCTTCTATACATTCTCATTGACAAGATTTTGAAAATAAAAAGTAATAATCAATATATCAATTCTAGAGACCCTGTACTATACTTGAAGACATCTGTGATTTCCCCCCTTGTGGCCAGCAACCTCCTGCCTGTACCATGCTGCTGAATAAGCATAAGCAGCCCCTGTCCAGTCTGCAAAGAGCTCCCTCTAGTGGCATCTTCTACAGCAATCTTATTTTCTGAACAAGCTGCAGAGGTGGGGCAAGGTAAAGGATCAGCACTTAAGGCATTGTGTGTTAAAGCAGAACTCGGGGCAAAACTGTTACATAGTTACATAGTATTTGAGGTTCTTAACCCTTGGAGTGAGGCTCTGCAAGGGTTAAGTGTTTGTTTGCGTCTAGGTGCTAAAATAAAAAAGTTATACTCGACCAATCCGTGGAGCCAGCTGGCTCTTAGACCAATCCCTGGAGCCCCTCTCCCCCTACGTTGCAGCGGTCTAAGGTTCGTGAGCCATCACATCCTATACACACAATGAGGGGAATTTATCAAAACTGGAGCAGTTGCCCAGAGCAACCAATCAGCTTCTCTCTTTAGTTTGTTCAGTTTGAAAATGAAAGGGAGAAGCTGATTGGTTGCTGTGCACAGCTGCTCTAGTTTTGATAAATTCCCCTCAATGTATAGGATGTTAGGACACGGAGGGACGCGTGCACTGCAGCAAAGAGGGAGACAGGATGGAGCGATGTAACAGCCGGCCGGCTCCACGTATAACTTTTTTTATTTAGCACCTATATAAGAAGGAGCACTTTGCCACGCGGGGTAGCCCCACCGCAAAGGATAAGAACAGATTTACCCAGAATTCTGCTTTAATGACATGAAGCTCATTCTGACCTTTTACTTTCAAACTGCTCAGAGTAGCTTGGAATCTGTACAAAGGACTTCACCAAACAGCTAAAAAGTACAAATATCTTTTTTTTTATTATTTAAAATGTAGATATGCTGTGTGCCTGTGAACACATAACAAACACAGTGGGGTTTTCTCAAATTTGACTGCAAAAGTGGTACTACACCTTAAAAAGGAGAACTATGGGGTCAGGGCTTTTCCCCATAGTTCTCCTAAGGGTAATGGGAGGACATAAACTAGCGTCCCTCCCGTCACCCTAAGCTCCGTATACTGAGACGCCGCAGCCGGGATGGATCCCGACATTACTGTCTGGATCCACCCAGCTGCGTGAGTGACAGCTGGCTCTGCCTATCCAGAAGCAGAGCCAGCTGTACCCGCCCCCTCCCCCGTCCTTTCCACCAGTCAGCGCTGGGGGATCGGGGAGGGGGGGAATCCCTGCAGGGAGCCGTGACAGTCACGGCTCTCTGCAGGGACAGGATTGAGAAGTGAGCAAGCAACGCTATGTGTGCGCTCACTTCCCAATCTATTGAGCCGACCTGTGACAGTTTAATTGTCACAGGTCGGCTAGAACTGTGAGGCCGAGTGATTTTCACTCGCCTCATAGTTCTCCTTTAGAAAATAAATGAGAGATGATGATTGGTTGCCATGGACAGCTGCTCTAGATTTTGTCTGCTCCAGTTTTGATGAATTCCCTTCACTATATTTTTGTTTTTTTAATTTAGATATGCTTAAAGTTTAATATGGCAGTTTTAGCTTTCAACAGTACACATCGCTGATCAAAGAGTCCATTGTGTCCGATTTTGGTATACATACAACACAAAAGTTCGTTATTCCTACTCACACGTCCGGATGAGATCAGCCTCAGAGTTGTGGTTCCCGGGTTGGGTGTATTTCTCCAAGAACTGGTCAGAGAAGGACAGCGATACACACCGTAAAACAGGCAGAGACTCTGTTGTATAAGGAACAGAAGACAACACAGTCAGAAGGAAGGAAATAGTGGTAAAGTGCACCTGTCATTTATAAATATATACAGGTGAAACACGAATAATTAGAATATTGTGCAAAAGTAATTGCAGTAAGTACTGCAAAAGGGGCCCAAACCAAGTACTGAGTACATATGCATGCTTGTACTTTTCAGAGGTCCGATATTGTTCTATGTACAATCCTTGTTTTATTGATTGCATGTAATAATCTACTTTTTTGAGGTTGTGGATTTGGGGTTCTTGGGGTTTTCATAAACTGTAAGCCATAATCATCACAATTATGACAAATCACGGCTTGAATTATCTTGCTTTGCATGTAATGAGTCTATCTCATATATTAGTTTCACCTTTTAAGTTGCATTAGTGAAATAAATGAACTTTGCACGATATTCTAATTATTCGAGTTTCACCTGTATAAAGGCAAGGTACACATTTTATGTTATTGTTCCACAAGTGAAGGCTTTAATATGTGGATGTGAAATCATAAAAAAATATTCCTTTTCCTCACTGGCCAATGTGTGGGAGGGGGGCAAGTCCCATCATTAACAGAATGAACCCCTGACCTTCGCCCAGTCAGAAGCGGGGAAGGCTTGGGGTTGATCATTACGTCATCCTCATTCCTCTAGGCAAGGAATCAGGAAGTAGCAGGATGGACCAAATTAAAAAGGTATCATATAAGTCTGTCCTTAAATTACCAGGACAGAGTTAGGAGGTTGGGTGGTGGGACCATTGGGAGTGACCGGCACAGCTGGTTTTAGACTAGATGATCCCTTCTAATTTGTCTCTAAAGCTGAAAAGAGAACTACAGCCAAACCTTTTTTTGCCTCTACTTCTCTTTTGAGTCGCAGGAGTACTTTCACTAATGTACGCCTGTGACCCAAAGTCAGCATACAACGGGCTACTGCCTGCTATTTGATAATAGAACAGAACAGTGCTGCAGTTGGGACAATATTTTTAGGATCCATCCTGCTGCCTGATTGACAGCTGCCTCTGCTTCTCTAGAGCCAGCTGTGCCCACCCCTTACCCTGTCTGTTCCTCCAATGAGCGCGGGAGGAATAAGGTGCCCATACACTGTGCGATTATCACACGATAATTGCGGGAAATCCCGCGATCGTACGATAATCGCAAAGTGTATGGAAGGCGTGCAACCGTTTTTACTGTACGGTTGCACGTCTTTTGTGTAAGGAGCATGCTAGAAAACCAGCCGAGAATCGTACGATTTTCAGCGAGTTTTTAGCATGATCGTAAGATCAATGCCGCACGGGCCGGTGTGCGCACACTGCCCGTTCAGCATTGCGGTCATCGGAAGCCCGCCCCTCAGGGGGCGGGCTTGCGATGATCGCACGTACGATCTGCCTGTCCAAGATGGGCAGATCGTACGTTTTTAAAATTACTTTACAACCATCGCAAGACCAAGGTCTTGCGATGGTTGTAAAGTGTATGGCCACCTATAGAGAGAGGGGAGGGAGAAATCCCTGCGGGGAGCGGTGACTGACAGTCACCATTCCCCAGGGGAAGACCCTGAGCTGAGTGATCAGCACTCGCAGATCGCTCAGCTCTCGGTCTATAGAGCCAGTGTGTGACACGAAGTTGACTAAGGATTAGGAACAGTACATTTTACTCTCCCAATACTTCTGCTTTAAAGAATACTGTATGTCAAAGCAAAACAACAAAAACATGCAACAAGTCTCTGCAATAAAAGCACATTCCCCATGTGTTTTCCATTTAAAGAGTCTGCAAATACAGAATAATAATATCTGTTAATGTTCCAGAAATGCACTCAGCTCCCAAGTCCTGTTGTGGGATGACAACACACAACATTTTTGAGAGCCGAGTGGTGTCAACCCTGCCTAGAATCTTTTGCTCAACTACTCCACCTCTCCTGCTCGCAGATCTCTACAACTTAAAGGCTTATCATTCTGTAGTCTAAGATAAGAACTAGGAGGGCTCTATGAGATAACACAGGAAGTGTGCAGAGAACACAGGACAGCTCTGGCAAGGTTTATTTTGCACTTATCAAACTAATATAAAAAATGGATTACAGTGTTTTTTTTTTTTTTAAATAGACCAAAAGGGAGCAAATAAGAGAAGTTCATTGTACACTGTAATCTCCCCGGAACATGAGCACAATACAACCCTCCCAAAACCAAACCTCTTAATGCCACCACCGTCATACCTACACTATATTGTCAAAAGTATTGGGACCAAATCATTGGATTCAGGTGTTCCAATCATCTCATGGCCACAGGTGTATAAAATCAAGCACCTAGGCATGCAGACGCTTCTACAAACATTTTTGAAAGAATGGGTCGCTCTCAGGAGCTCAGTGAATTCAAGCGTGGTACCGTGATAGGTTGCCACCTGTGCAATAAGTCCATCCATGACATTTCCTTGCTACTAAATATTCCATACTCAACTGTTAGTGGCATTATAACAAAGTGGAAGCAACTGGGAACAACAGCAACTCAGCCACAAAGTGATATGCCACGGGAAATGACAGAGCGGGGTCAGCGCATGCTGAAGTGCGCAGAAGTCGCCAACTGTCTGCAGAGTCAATAGCTAGAGACCTCCAAACTGCATGTGGCCTTCAGATTGGCACAACAACAAAGCGTAGAGAGCTTCATGGAATGGGCTTCCATGGCCGAGCAGCTACATCCAAGCCTTGCATCACCAAGTGCAATGCAAAGTGTCGGATGCAGTGGTGTAAAGCACGCTCGCCACTGGACTCTAGAGAAGTGGAGATGTGTTCTCTGGAGTGACGAATCACACTTCTCTGTCTGGCAATCCGATGGACGTGTCTGGGTTTGGGAGTTGCCAGTAGAACGGTACTTGCCTGACTGCAATGTGCCAAGTGTAAAGTTTGGTGGAGTGGGGATTGTGGTGTGTTGTTTTTCAGGGGTTGGGATTGGCCCTAGTTCCAGTGAAGAGAACTCTTAAGGCATCAGCATATCGAGACATTTTGGACAATTTCATGCTCCCAACTTTGTAGGAACAGTTTGGGGATGGCCGCTTCCTGTTCCAACATGGCTGCACACCAGCACACAAAGCAAGGTCCATAAAGACATGGATGAGTGAGTTTGGGGTGGAGGAACTTGACTGGCCTGCACAGAGTCCTGACCTCAACCTGATAGACACCTTTGGGATGAATTAGAGAGGAGACTGCGAGCCAGGCCTTCTCGTCCAACATCAGTATCTGACCTCACAAATGCACTTCTGGAAGAATGGTCAAACATTCCCAGAGACACACTCCTAAACTTTTTGGACGCCTTCCCAGAAGAGTTGAAGCTGTTTTAGCGGCAAAGGGTGGGCCAACGCAATATTGAACCCTACAGACTAAAGCTGGCCATACACCTTACAACCATCGCACGACTTTCATTGTGCGATGGTTGTAAGCTCATTCAAATTTCGTATGATCAGCCCATCTTGGACAGGCAGATCGTACTTGCGAACATCGCTGAGGGGAGGGCTTGCCGATGATTGCAATGCTGAGGAGGCAGTGTGCGCTTGCGCACACTGGCCCGTGCAGCTTTCGTCTTCCGAGCACGCTACCAGCGTGCTAGGAAGAAGAAAAGTCGTGCGACCGTACCGTAGATGAGGTTGCACGCTGCCCATACACCTGCCGATTATCGTACGATCGCAGGATCACCCATACAATAATCGGCAGGTGTATGGGCACCTTAAGACTGGGATGTCATTAAAGTTCATGTGTGTATAAAGGCGGCATTCCCAATACTTTTGGCAATATAGTGTATGCATAGAGGGCTCTATAAAGGAGCAATCCAAAATAAACTAAAACCTTGGTAACATAAAAACAAATAAAAACCAAAACACTCCCTATTTTTCTTTCAGCCATCTGTCATGGCGCCATGCATGCTTCAACAATGGCAGCCACACTTTAAATGAAACTTAAGGGCACAAGTTACGTGCCTAATTGCCTCATGTTATCAAACTTAAAGGAGAACTATGAGGTGAGTGCTTTTCACTCACCTCATAGTTCTAGCCAACCTAGAGACTGTCACATGTCGGCTCAGTAGATCGGGAGGTGAGCGAACACATACCGGGTTCGCTCGCCTCTCGATCCTGTCACGGCTCTCTACCGTGACAGGGGCTGGATTCCCCTCTCCCAGCTCCGATCTGGACAGCGCTGACTGGCGGAACGGACGGGGAGGGGGAGGGTACAGCTGGCTCTGCCTCTAGACAAGCAGAGACAGCTGTCACTCACGCAGCTGGGCGGATCTCGACATCGATGTCGGGATCCGCTCCGGCTGCGGCGTCTCAGTATACCGCGAGCTGTAGCTCGCAATATACTGAGCTTAGGGTAACGGGAGGACGCTAGTTTGCGTCCTCCCGTTACCCTAAGTAGAACTATGGGGAAAAGCCCTGACCCCATAGTTCTCCTTTAATAAGATATAATGAGGACATAAGTGAGATCTGCAATTGCTGACTCTGGGACTGTCATTCCTGATTCTCATCTACATCTAGTAGGGGGGGGGGAGGGTCTCTAAAACTGGAAACGAAAAGCTCCGTCTTGAAATGTGTAAACTGCAACAAAAAGAAAATTGATGGAAAAACATTCTAAATCACTGTGCGTGTTAGTAACTAGGCCGCCACTGACCGCCACGGGAACTGTTCTAATTAGTTCAGTGCTAGAAAAATCTCTACTGGAGGGCTGCCATGGTCTGAACAACTTTGAGAGTCCTTTATTACCATTCAAGATAACATTTCTGGTTCTAGGCGCATCACCCCCACAGAAGACCCCGTAACGCAAAAAAAAAATTACCCTCTTGGTAATAGTCCTGTTGCAGGACCATAATGCACTGCTGCCACAATCCCAGACTGCCGTTACAGTGATAGAGGGCGTCCGTGTAAGCCTTCTCGTTTGCCTTCTCTTGCTCGCCGAGGAATTCGCTGGCGGCCGTCTCGCTGACATTGGCAAGGACTGGAGATGTGACGTAGTGGTACCAGTAGACTGTGCCCACTGCCGCTGACAGGTAGATGACAGACATGAGGGACAAGACGCTGCCAATCACCAGCGCAGTGGCAAATCTGTTATCCATGGTGTTCGGTTAGATAGCGTCTCTTTTCTCAGCCTACGGAGGGAGCATCTGACAAAGGAAAAGCAGACGGGAGGTTACAATGTGCAATTAGACAACAACGGCATGTATGGGGTTAAAGTGAACGGGTAAAAGCTTTCTGTGTCTCTAATCCTAAATCTAATTTTTCAGTACGTCTGGAATCAGTGGCCTCACAAGAGGGGTGCGGCCTGCACCCCGGTGACACCAAAATGACTGGCAGTCATTTTGGTGTCACCCCCTCTGAAAAGTCGGGCACTAGGTCATGGACCGGGAGCCTGACAGTTGTAGGAGAGAGGAGGGAACCCAGCGGCATATCTTATCCCACCGGGTGAACGGCCCCTCCTCTTTCTGCCGGCGTCCAGATGACACCCAGGCCTCGGGACGCCCCTGTCTGGAATCTTATCTCACTGTATACAGTTTTCTTTTGCAAACCATTTTTTGTGAATCCATTGCAAAGTTTCTCAACTGGAGATCCTGCTAGAAAGCGCACTTCCTTTTGCGGGCTGACAACGCCAAGTTGGTGCTCCGCAACATGCTGTGTATGCTTAATCAGTTGGCATTTCTGATAGGCAACCCAATGGCCAACTGAATAAGCTCAGGCAGCAGGCTGGCAACCATGCTGTTCATTTTAAGGCAGCAACCTAGCGTTCTCAGCCCGAAACAGGAAGTTCTGTTACTGGCAGGATCTCCAAGAAACCTAACCTGCAACAGGTTATAAAAATTCATACCCCACCCTTATCCTAGATGGTATGGATTTAAAGGGAGACCCCACGCAAAACAAATGACATGGGGTTCATCCTTTCACATCAGAGCCCCCCCTTACCATCCCACCTGCACCATGGAAGCACATGACACTGTGCGGAAATTTGAGGATCCCCTGACATAGCCAGGTGTCACCCGGCTTGAGAAAGTCTGTAACCCATCGGTGGACCCCTGCGCCTTCCTCTGCCATAAAAACACCCACAGTCAAAGGTAAGGGGACCAAGGTCGGGCATCCTCCCAGAAGAGAATTAAGCAAGGACTTTGCTCCCCCCCGTTGTGAGGAACATCATCAGACCACCCCAGCAGAGATGCATGGATCCACCATTATGTATAAGAATGTGAGGTCATGGACACTTTACGGGTGACAGGTTCTCTGTACCATTCTCCACTACGTATCCTGTCTCACCACAAAAAAATAGCTAACACCTTACATTCTAATTCCAGCGAACAAAAGCCTCACCCTCTCCATCGGCTTCTATCAGCTGCTTCTTCCTGGGTCACGACTCGCAGTGCTCTCTGGGAGCTGTAGTCTTCGTCTGCCCTACAGAGATCCGTACAATGAGAGGTGCTGCGCACTACTGGTGATACGTGGAATCGCAGCAAACGGCTCAATAGGGACACCGCCTGACAGCGGTTGCACTCGTGTACTGAACGCTGCTGCACCCAGCTGGTCAGAAATGGAATTGCAGCAGAGGGGATTTAGAGTACTGTAGAGGAGGCAATCACATGGAATGCATTGCAACTGTCCCCCATTTGGAACCAAATCATCCCGTCCCTCTTTCCTCCTCAGTTGCCCCTCTTTCCTCCTCAGTTGTCCCTCTTTTTTGGTCTGGTGTGAAGATACCCAATGCAAAAAAAAAATGCAATTTTTTCCTTTTATGAATGTGTGTATCTATTATGTGCATAAAAAGTGTTATTCTGCACCAAAACCGTTATAATAACTTATTAATGGTCTTAATAGCTATTTCAAAAAGCCAATATAAAGGAAAAGTAACGGTGAAACAAAACAATTGAGTTTAACAAAACATTTTATCATATGCATTCCGATAGGTAACGTTCATGCAGTGTAGGTAACGTTCATGCAGTGTATGCAAACTTACTCATAAAAGAAAGAATGTGCATTTATTATTTTTGCATTGGAGCCAGTGAAGCACTGGAACCACGATCAGTGGGTCATGGATGCAGTGCTCTGGCTCCTGCAGAGTCTTCCTCCCATCCATGTCCATACCGAGGAACAGACATTGAGTAACAGGGGTGGGATGAAGTATCAATTGACTTCAAATGCAATGACGGGACTTGAAGGTTCACCACTCACAGATCCAATCAAAGGATATGTGAATGGATGGCGCAGCTGTGTGGGCAGATAAATGAACAGCCGCTCCCCATGAAAAATAGCACTAGCAGGAAGGGATTCAGGTAAGCGGGGGAGGGGTGGCAATGTCACCATTCTTTACGTTACATCCTGAATATGGGTATAACATGAAACATGATTTAAAAGGTAAACTTAGCCTTTAATGGTCTGCATATCTAGGGGCATGGGGTGTCTCCATTGCCTAAACACATTGGGGGGAATTTATCAAAACTGGAGCAGCTGTGCATGACCATCAGCTTCTATCTTTCATGTTAAAATCTTAACTGAACAATTTGAAGAGAGAAGCTGATCGATTGCAATGCACAACTGCACCAGATTTTGTCTGCTCCAGTTTTGATAAATTCCCCTCATTGTGCTGCAAGGTGTCCATTTCTCATCTGAGACAGTTGGGAGGTGTGTATAGAGAAGCCATTCTCAACCAGTGATCTGTGGAACTCCAGGGTTCCTCCAGAGATTGGAAGGGGTTCCTTGAGCTGTGGCTAATTGATCTTCCATTTAATGGTGTCTGCATAGTTTTGGGGCCAACACCACTTGGCGGAGCCAGCAGCATGGCACCAATGATCTCTTTAGCAGTCTGTAAGGGGGGCATTCTACCTACTAGCAGTCAATGTAAGATGCATTTTCCCACTGACCTTCAGTATATTGGTGTTAACAGAGGTTCCCCAAGACCTGAAAATATTTTCATGGTTTTCTGTAGAACGGGCTGAGAAAGGATGGTATATAGGGTACGGTGCATGAATGATGCAATGATTTAAGACGGGAGAATATTTAATTCCATTCATTCTTTTTCTGATGGGCCAATTCAAAGATATAATTTTATTGTCCTGCAGACCTTCAACAGGAAACTAGCCTTCAGGCAATTGCAAAAAGCAATGCAAGTATTTGAATATTTGAAACTGAAATAGTGCACAGAACTTGGGCTGCAGAGTATCACTCTCCCCTGTGGGCGGGCTAGACAACCCCTCTCTTGAGCAAAGGATAATAGTAAGGCCAAAGGTAACAGTCCCTGCTTGTGAATCTTATATAGTCCTTGCTCTGGGTCCTTGGAAGGTGACATAATGGAGTAACAGCCTACACCAGGTTCTATATCAGAGGAGGGCAAACTCTAGCTGATGTGTAACTACAAATCCCACGAGGCATTGGAAGACTCTCACAGCCACAGGCATGACTCCCAGAGGCAGATGCATGATAGGATTTTTAGTTTCACCACAGATGGAGGGCTGAAGTTTGCCCACACCTGCTCTATATAGTAGTCCTTAAATTGCAACTGCAGCTAAACCATTTTTTTTTGCTTTGAATAGTGTGGGGAAGGGTTGGAACCTCTATCAGAATATTTGGTCCCTGTCACGGAAGGGAAGCGGAGAGCAAGATACAAGAGAGGGACAATGAAACATCAAGGGGGGACAATGAAGCATCTGTCCCACATCCTCAAAAGTTTACAGGCATACTGGAAATAATCACAAAAACCCAGATATCATGAAACAACAAGGGACACAATGCACACACAAATACACAAGCTGGGACTACTCACAAATTATGGTATCCTGACACTTCTAGTGAACTCCGCTCTCAACACAGACAGGCTTTGACTTATCCAAAGTTTAAAGTGACATTAAAGTCAAAAATCAGCAGAGCTAAATTGAAGTAGTCACCCTGCTTAGGGCAAGCTGGCTACATACTGTATGTGATGAATACAAATTGAAATATTTTTAGCTGCTGTTAATTAATACATTTGCCTGCACTGTATTTTCTAATGACGTTGAATGTGTCTATGTTGCCTGAGGACACAAACTGTCTTATGCATCTTTAATACCAGTGGGTACAATCTTTAGATTATACTGTTTTTTTGGCACGCCTAGGAAGGTGACGCATCCCGTATGTGATCAACAAGGGTGCGATACAGCCTAAGGGTGTTATCAGAAGTAGTGATCTGACACGCAGAGCTCGTTTTAACAAAGGACTGGGAGCTTCTCTCTGATTGGGCATCTTTAACAGAATCGTTTAGATCCTTGGTTCTCAACTGGTGGGTCGTGACCCAATAGTGGGTCGCGACCCCATGTTCAGTGGGTCGCCGCATGCCTTCCACTTTTCTAGGTGAGAGGCTCCTCAGCCTCCCCCTAGCGCTGCACTGTCAGTTCTCATGCCAAGCAGCCATTCAGAATATGCTGTCCAGCACCGAGTGTTAGCTTGAGGTGGGATCGGATGAGGCTATGGCCACGAGGGAGCTCCATCCATACATGCATTGCTTACAGCTCCCTCATGTGTCCTGTAGGGGTGCCTGGACCAGAGTAACGCACTGTACAAGGAAATCACACCTAGTACGTGTTCTGGTGTGGGACATATGTTGCGTTGCTATTCATTTGAATGGTACCTCAAACACACCTCACACCCACCGTTCGATTGCCTGCACCGGAATGCATGGTACCGCAATGCCGTGCGGTCCATTGCAGTGGGACTTGGGTTGCGACTTAATGACCAAGGACAAATGTGGGTCCTGAGGTTACACGGGTTGAGAACCACTGGTTTAGATGTGCCCTTGTTGTGTAACGGTATCAGCCAAATGATCAGACCAGTGGTGATGTGCAATTTCTACTCTACTTAACAATGCAAATCAACATAAATTGCACAAGGGATCATATGAACAGGGGATTGCAATACAGAGCAATAATGGAAACAGGTTTGGGAGAACATAAGAAAACGATTCTACAGCAGTTCTGCAAATGGCCACTAGGTTGCGGCAGAGTATTCTGAGTTCAGTTTACTAAGAGAATACAGAGCTAAAGAATCTCGCGTGTCCAAGATAGCAATCGTTCATTCAGCAAACTCTTAGCCGAGTGGATCTCCTGCTGGCACAGACTTCACACTGGCACTGCTGCTGCTGGCTTCGATCA